ATGTGTGAAAAGCTACCATCTTTAGCATCTTTTTCTTTTTTATTACATTTCTCCAATAAGTAAGAGCTTCATTTTTCTTAATTACTCAGACATGTGGAGAATTGCCTGAGATTTTCTTCATAATAAATGTACATGCTTGTACTTTCTACATCACTTTTTCCTAACCTAATACATGGGTAGTTTCTCCTGGCTTAGAAATTTTGTATCATAATAATTTCCTTTCAAAATTATTAATTATAAATTATTAATTGTCCTCTGACATTTAGAGTTGTAGAAAAAGAATGTGTAGCCAAAGTAATTTTTTACTTTTAAGATAGAAATTTTACTTTTTTATCCTTATGATAAAATTTTTTAGTTGGGCATTAATTGTTTCAATTTATACATGTTGATAAATCAGAAAGTCAAATAGTTCTGCAACTCTTGTAGTCTAAAATGAAACAAAATAACATGATGCATTCCTCTCCCATTTACTGGCCTACAAAGGCAACCACTTTTGAAGTTTTTAGTGATTTTTTTAAAACTATACCTCCAAAACTCTAAATAGCATGCTAATTCTGTTATTTGAATTCTGAAAAGAGTTTACCCAATCCTTATTTTAGCTTCTCAGCAGCCTCTACCCCATTCTTCTAAGCACAGGGCTGTTGATGAGCTGGAGTGTTCCCTGGGGGAAACTGACACTTTGGTTTTTCCTGCTAGTGGTTTATGTTTTCCTCCTTCAGCCATGCCAGTTGCTGATGGAGCTGGTCCATATACCTCTCAGCTTCTCCTACTTCGTTACTAGTATTTGCCATCGTATTTTTCTTTGTCATTTTCAATTTTTATCTTTAAACATTATTTGTCATTTTCATGAAATATCAAGAAGAAGCAAAACTTCTAGCATGTGCTTAATATGCCAGTTTTGATCAGAAATCCTCAGATATTTTTAACCTTGAAATTCAAATACGGTACCAGGAAATATCAAAGTTCTTATCTCCTCTTCTCAGTTCTACCTGGGTGAGGATATCCATTCTATAGATCTAAATCTTTCCTTTGTGCAGGAAAGGTGTGTCTCTTTTTGTTTTTGTTTTTCTATGTGCTTCACTTCACTTTCTAGAATCCTATTATAAATGGATTATATCTCCAAGATCGATAGATTCTTCACTTATATCATCGTTTTGCCTATCAGTTCCTCTGCTTTAATTTCTTCTAAGTTCCGGGATAATCTCTCTATTCTATGCCAGTTTAAATTTCTGCAATATTTAATCAAATACCCAGTATTTCACTACAGTTATTTTAAGTATTTCTTAACTATGTTTTAAATCTAGAATTTCTTTTCTGATCTCGGATGATCCTGTTTCGATAGACAAATCGTCCTCTCAAATCTTCCTAAGAACATGGATTGTATTATTTTGCAGTTTCTTCTTAGTTAATGGAATGCATCTATTTCATAAGGGAATATTAGTTCTGCCTCTTAGGAATAACTCCCTTATATTTGTACCAGTGAGTGTTTTTCTGTGCTTTTGTTATTCCTTTAATCTATTAATTTTTGAAGATGTGAGGTATGTTTGGGAAGAATATGGCACCCTACTCGGAAGACATGGGACATGAGTAAAATGCACAAAATCTTAGGGCCTTGCCTTATTGCTAAGAGCAGAACTGTGATGGGGAAAAGGATGGAAGAATGGAATTGGCTCAAATCAAACCACCACTCTCAGGAGCAAACCACTCTAGACAAGCACCAGACTAGCTGCTCTTGAACACGGCTGACCGACTGTGGTCTACTTATCTGAACCTCTTTTCCTCTTCATGGTCTAGTTCCAGTCTCAGTCCTTTGATACTTTTCCTAAATGTTTGACTCTACTGGGAGTAATGTAAAGTTCCTACTCTCTTGTTAGTTTTTTTGTTTTTTTTCTTGAAGAAAACTGATACGGTTTGACTGAATTCTACAGAATTCAAGTGCTGCCCATGTGATGATATTAAAAGATAAGGCCTTTAAGAGGTGTCTGGGCCATGAGGGTACCTCCCTCATGAATGAGATTAAGACCTTTATAAAAGAGTCTTCATATATCATTCAGCTCTTGCCTACTCCTTCCTCCATGTGAGGACACAGCTTATCTCCTCTCTGGAAGGTAAAGCAGTAAGGCATCACCCTGAAAACAGAATCAGCCCTTAATGTCGATCACGGGCCCCTCAGTCTCCAGAGCTGTGAGAAATAAATTTCTGTTCTTTAGAAATTGTGTAGCTCAAGTCCTTCGTTATAGCAGTGCAAATATATAAAAAAGTTTCTGTTTTTAGAGTTTCCATAATCAAGATAATATTGGCTTTTCCCTTGTTCAGTTTTTTTTTTCAGTAGCTAACATACAGTGAAAAGATCTGACCTTGGAAGTAGAAATTAAAAATAGAAGGAGCAGGGTCTTCCAACAAAAGCTTGACATTAAAATCATATTTCATTAAAATCATACTGGCCTAGGAAAGATGACTTTTTAGACACAGTACAGGCAGAATCCATGCAAAAAATGTTAATAAATGGGACTTCATTAAAACTAAAAAACCTCTACTCTGCAGAAGACACTATCAAGAGAATGAGAACACAGATCACGAACTGGGAGAAGATATACTTGCAAATGCTATGTTTGAAAAAGGATTGTGACCCCAAATGTACAGAAATCTATTCAGTCTTAACCATAAGAGAACAAGCAACTTGTTTTTAAAGTGAACCAAAGATCTTAACAGACTCCTAACCTGTGAAGACACCCGAATGTCAAGTAAATACGAAAGCATGCTCAGTGTCATCTGTCATCAGGGAAAGGCAAAGGAGAACATGAGCTACCGCTACAGACCTATGAGAGTGACCAAAATCCACGACACCAGCAACACCACATGCTGGTAGGGACCTGGAACAACAGGAGTCTCGTTCATTCCTAATGGGAAAGTAGAGTGAATGGTATATTCACTTTAGAAGACATTTGGGCAGCTTCTTACAATACTATTTTAAGTATATGACCCAGCAATTGCTCTATTTTTTGTTTGTTTGTTTGTTTGTTTGTTTTGTTTTTGGGTTTTTTTTGGTACCGGGGATTGAACTCGGGTCCTTGCTCTTGCAAGGCAGGCCACTGAACAGCTGAGCTAAATCCCTGGCTGCTCTAGTTTTTATTCAGGCAAAATAGTCCAAAATTTTCACTGACATAAGAACTTGTTCATAGATATTTATAGCAGATTTCTTCGTAGTAGCCTAAACTGGGAAGGTGCCAAGATGTCTTCTAGGAGATGAATGGGCAAACTGTGGTACATCCAAGTGGTGGAATATTATTCAAGGCTAAAAAGAAATGAGCTGTCAAACCATGCAAAGACATGGAGGAAACTGAAACACATAATACCAACTGTGGCAAGCCAGTCTGGGAAGATTATGTGCTGTATAAGTTTAACAATATGACAATCTGAAAGGGCTAAAATGGTGGAGACAGTTAAAAGATTAACAGCATCCAGAGATAGAAAAAGGAAAAATTGAATAGGAAGAGCACAGCATATTTTTAAGGAATTAAAACTATTTTATATGCTATTATAATGGTGGATATATGTTATTTTTATATCTGTCAAAACCCATAAAACATACAACACTAAGAACAAACCCGATGCACAGCAAAGGTACAACTCTGGTAAGAAATGCTGAACGTAGACTACACACATCCAAAGCCGAGAATGTATGGAAATCTCTAATCTCAGTGCTTTCTGCTCAATTTTGCCATGAACGTAAAAGTTACTCTAAAAATAAAGTCTATAAAACAGATCCCTATATGCCAAAGAAAAGTCACATTTGGAAACGCTGACCTGGTTGTTTAAATTGACTCTCTGTTTCCAGAAGCATAGTTTATAATGACATTGTGGATTACAGCTTAAGGATGTGGGATATCTTGATAGAGTTATTAGGAATTCAATCTTTAGAGATCAACGAATGTGTTGCTAAGTGAGATGGAGCGACCCCGAGGGCTATTTTGAGTCTACAGAGACTTCTCTGCTGCTTTATTTTGTCTCCCACATTCCCAAAATAATCCTCAATGATAACAGTTCTAGCTATTAGGCCCCCAGGAGAGGGTGGTTGAATTTGCATTATAATTCATTGCCATCCCTGGGGAATGTTTCCCAACAATCCTCATTAAGGCTGTTATTTACAGGTCAGATGGTGGAGAGATTATTACACGTATTTAAGAACCCCAAATGCAGATTGTCAAATTATCTCTTCGGCTGAAGGGGGAGGGAAGTTGAGAAGGAAGGCGAAGGGAGAAGAAAGGAGGGGAGGAAAGCAAAAGTAAAGAAGGCTTCATAATCACATTCATTTCTTTCTACAGATGAACAGAGGCCCGGGAATTTGAAGGTTTCTTTGGGAGGTTTGAGTTGTAAACTCAGATGCTGACAGGTCCTGGCTCTCCAGCCCAGCCCTCAGTTTTACCTTTTCTCCTTCCACTGCTCTTACCCTCTGTTTTCTTTATGAGGTCGGTAGAGATACGGTAATGGAGGTAGGCACCCTTCGACATCTCCCCGACTCCTGTTCAAATACGTTTTTAGGGAACAGAATGGCTCTAGGTTCAGTTTGGACAGATGGGCTGTTTAAATATCAGTTCTACCATTTTCATCACGTCACCGGACTGCCGAGATCTTCAATAATCCTTGCCATTTCCAACGCCAACACTTCGAAACTAGGAGTCCTTGGGAGTCACTTATGCTTATAGGAAGACGCAAGAAGGAGGAAGTTGGAGATCAGAAAGGGCTGGAGTGCAAGGCTTGCAGATGAAGCTTTATGGTTGTGAAGCTGAAACGGGGCTTGTCCCTTGGCTGTGTGCGGCAGTGACTCTGTGCTCAGCTTTCTTGTTTTTCCTCCACTGTTGCTTTAGTCTTTAATTCTTCCAACTTCAAAAATTCAGCCACTGGGCCTCTGGGCATAGACCGCGTGCTGTTGTTCATGGTGTTTGTGGGTCAGCTTTTCCCTGCGGCTCTGCCTCAGACCATCCGACTTTCCCTTGCAGAAAGCCCTCTGCACTCCAGTCCTGTGTCCTGAAGACAGATGGCAGAAGAAAGCAGAAAAGGTAAGTGCTCCCTTGAGCACACTCTCCAAAGGCAGATCTTGTGGCTCAAGGAAATATCGCAGAGGCTCTACCACTCCTGTTATCTCATGTATAGGGATGGGAGGACCTCACTGTGCTTCTACTTGGAGCCCAGTGTGCCTATGACCTGCCTGCGCCAGTGAAGAGGAAATCCAGACCCTTTTCTCCAAGTCACACCTGCTCCCGGAAGGAGGGGGAGAGGGTAAGAGGACACTCTTTTCCCACTTAGGGCTACAAAACAGAGCCCCATGCCTTCCCTTCCTCCTGGGAGAGCGCTGCTCTAAGAGGCGCCCTCACACCTGCCTGAATTTTAATTAATATCATCCCACAATCTATCAACAGCAAGTCAACATGCTTCACACCAGGGGAGAAAAACAATCCTCGCCTTGTCAGCCCTGCCTCTCTGGAGCAGCTGAGGGTCTTAACCCTCCCCCCATCCCCACCCCCCGACTCTCTGCCACCTTCTTTTCCCTCGGGGCTGTTGACAGGGTGCGGTGATGGCTTTGGCATCAGAAGGTGGCAGCATGGGAATGTGGCAGAATGGTTTGGGGTCGACTGCTGGGCAGCACAGGCATGCTGTACCAACTCTGCTCAGGACCTGCCACTCCTCAGAGCAACACCATGGAATGGGAGTGTCTATCTCCATCTTAACAGAGGTGGCCCTGGGGAGTAGAGAAGTTCAGCGACTCACTGAGGTCATACTGTTGACCCAAGCAAAACTGGGCAAATGAGTGTGAATCTGGCTGTGGATTTAGGGGCTCTTTCCGGCGGCTTCTCTACATCCACACCCTTGAGACAGCTCATTCGCTGGACTTTAGAGTGCTTTCCCAGAGGGTCCTTGCCTTTTCCGGAGTCTCCAGCAGCAGAATGAGAAGTACTCTCTCCATCAGATGAAGACAGGAAGTGAAAATAGGCAAGACCTCCTGCAGGTGGCCCTAGTACAGAGGCATGTTTGTACTGGTAGGGTTGTGTGCTTTGTGTACACCTACAGCATGTGCATATGTGGTATTCAGCACAGCACGACTGTGGCTAGGAGCATGTTTTGGTATCTTTCCAGGCCTGGTGGAGTGGACGTGCTCCATCTCAGCCTGGAGACAGGACTACAGTGCGGCTGACACTCACTCCTAGGCTACCCGGGGCTCAAATAAACCACCCATCTCTGAGAGCTATTTTCTTCATCTGTAAACAGGCAATAACGTGATTCATTGACACAAAACATGGAAAACCCAGTATGGTACTTGACACTTGGTAACGTGCAATGAATTAATTCCATGTACTAACTAGTTCTAAATCAGCTTTTCACGCATCTTTTCCATGGAAATAAGGACTTGGTTACGATTTACTTTCTCTGCAGCTTAGGAAGCAATGAAATGTTCAGTCCTTTGTAGGAATTCCTAGGAGCCCTCACCAAGTCTTAGAGATTGCTTCCTTTTAAGTGCTCACGAAGAGTGTGCCTTTAACAGGAGGAAAAGATGTAAATGACGACACATGTAAAGTGCTTCTAAAGCCTGTAAGAAAAGAACTCCACTCCTTGCTTGTCACAAGGATGTGAAGACATGTCCTTCCCTGAGCCTGGCTCCCTCTCCTGTTGTTCTTTGCAAACCCTTAGGTTCTGGAAAATCTCCATCTGCCTTTAAAGCTGGCTTCTATTATCCTTATTAAAGAAAACCCCACTCAGCTGGGTCCTCAGCTACTTAGTAACAATTGTCCAATTTTCAGTCTCACTTCCTTTTATCACAGAATTGCCTGAGCAGGTGGTCCTCAGTGACTCCTCTTCTCCTCTCAGGATAATGCCTTCCTTTGTGCTCAGCCTGGCAGGAGAGGCTCTCGTGCGGATGCTGCTGCTGAGGACTCCAGGGCTTGAGTCTTTGCCAGCCCTGGGATTTCTCTTCTGGTGATTCTAATGGAGAAGGACACACACCAGAGAAGAGGGTTGAACTGGGGCTCCCAAGTGAGGCAGAGGCTGGAGATGGCATTAGGGTCCTGTCAGAGATTATGACACAAGGAGTCAGGTAAAGAGGGATTCATTTGCATCCTGGGGGGCATTTCTAGATTTCCTAATTGAGGTGGAGCCGGCTGGCCATCTCCCACTCCCTTTACCAGCCCGTTAATGGTATTCATCTTAACTCCTATTGTCCCACTATGTTTGTAGAGAGAATTTTGCTTTTCCAACTTTTTCCTTGCTTCTTCTTTTCCCCCATCCCCCACTTCTGTTCTTTTTTGATCTTAGAAATAACTGCAAACTATGCAAAGGAATGAAAATTCTTCCTAGAGTGGAGAGATTATGACAGTGAATCACAACGCCCCCTGGGCTGGGCCTGGATAGCTCTGTGCCAGAATCCAGGATCTGAAAGGAGATGGCTACATGGTGTAGGAAAAGGGAGTAGGACAGAGGTGGGAATAAATGCAGAGAACATGATGGACAAAGGATTGAAATACCTTCTCTTTCCACTAAACCAAAATTTCTCTTAATGTGAATTGAAATAGTAGGACTGGTGGCCGGAAGGGGCTGGAACAGTGGCTGTCAGGGAAACACTGACAGTAGAGTCAGGAAGGTGGTGACAATAGTGGATGGGAGTAGTGGCCGTAGTGTGACACTGAAGTTACTGAAGATGGTAAGGGTGGTGTGGGGGCTTTTATCTTTCCGTGTCCAGTCAAGTCCCCTCCACCTCACTGCAGACTGGAAAGAAATAGGGATTTGAGAGTCAGAATTCCTACTGCCCTTAAAGCCCTATAAATCTTATCTTTTTGTTTCTCCATTTGCTCATCTATAAAATGTAAAAATCAGAGTAGGTGAACTCATATGATCCTGTCACTTCTTACATTATAAGATTTTAGGGTTTCAACCTTAGTTTGACTCTTGCTTTCTCCTAAACACTCTATGCCACAAATTTCCTTTTGTGGAAGTGTTTGGGAGAAAACTTGATGTTTAAACTATGCTTTTGGTATTAGTACTGACTACTATGCTTACTTCAGTGTCCTAGTCTTAGGATTGGATTCCCCTATGGACTATCTTTGGTTCGGTGCCTCGAATAATATCTCACATGTAATAGATACTCAATACATGTTTGATATTTCTTAGGGATAAAGATTTCCTCCACTCACAACTTCTTGAAACTGCCTACATTCCAGGCTCTGACCTAGGTCATGGGAATGAAAAAATTGAAGCACCATTTTCTACGGGTCCCTCCCAGCGATGGCAGCAAATCTGTAAAACTAGTAAGTAAAGCACCCTGTGATGAGTTCTCATAATGAACATGTGAACAGACTGCAGTGGGCTTACTGAGGAGGGGACCCAGGTCAGATGTGAGAAGGGGTGCTTTAAAGGGAAATCTTGGAGGATGATTTTTGCCTTCCTGTTGACAAGGTAAGGAAAATATTTAGGCAAAGTGGGCTGAAATGTGGGAGTGTGTATCAGAAGAATAGTTGGACATCACGAAGGCTGAAGCCGGACTATGAAGGGACTTGAACTTCACCTTACAGGTACTATTGGAGGGTATAGGCAGGAGTACACCACATTCCAGCATTTTTCAGAAAGGCCCTGGCTGGCCAGATAGAGAATGAATTGTAATTCAGCCACAGCATAGACGCCTCAGAGTCCAGGCTTTCTGAGGAGACCTAATAACGGCAGCCACAGAAGGAATAAATGAGGGCATGAAACAAAAATCAGTGGAGACTTCAGTAGAGGAACCATAAAATCCAATGACTTACTAGATCTAGAAGGTGAAGGATGGGGAAATTGAAATTGTTCTAAAATTTCTTGCTAGGGTGACAGGTTCTATTAGAAAGAATATGACAGGGGGCAGGGATATTAAGGATGAGCAGTGGAAAATGAGATCACGATTGTGTGTCTTTGATCTCCAGTTGTGCAGTGGGCATATAGGGGTTGAACCTCTGTCTCTCCTCATCTCTCCCTTCCCCACATCTTGGCCTCTTATAAGGTTCCACTGACTAGAACTCTGCAGAGACCAGGAACAGGCTGAAGAGAACAAAGGATATCATACTGGTCCAAGGAGTCATGAGTTGCATTGCTCAATGACCCGACTGCCTCTGTACCAATAAGACCCATAACCATTTTCCCTTAGAAGGCCCCCAAAGAACTCTGAGCTTGATGGAGTTGAGTAGTGGGCTTTTATTTCTGCTTTAAAAAAAAAACTAAAAGCAATTTCCTTTTTATGCCTTTTGTCTCTTCATCCAAGCAAATGCCGGCGGGATCTGGCAACCTGAGTTCAATAGCCAGTCCTTTTGGTCTTTCAAAGGCTATGAATGTACTAAGAGCACTCAACCCTTCTGAAGATATGCAAATCTGTGCATTTAAAAGATTTACATTCATCCTGCGCAGGCCCTGAAATATAAATATGAAATACCCAGAACCTTGTCACTTCAGTAATAATTAAGCTGATGGCCTATTATGTTCGATTGCAAATCAATATAGTATCTTTTGGTGCCACTTGAGTTCTTGAGGGTTGGCGCCGGGCCAGCTCCAGTTATACAATTGAATTGCTGCAGCTGCCTGGGAAACTTCGCTGCCGTTCCCATTCAGGAAGAATAGGCGGGTAACAATGGTGACCAGCCTCCCTGCAGTAATTGTGTATGAGGACACATTTCCAATGGGGTTTTTGTTCAGCAGGTGCTGTTATTTTAGTTTAATTTGAATTCTGAAATATGGAGGAGAGAAGGAGACCAATCTTAACAGCATCTAACCTACAGCTGTTCGAAAGAGGCCAGCAAACAGCATATGTTGCTTAGATGGAAATCATAATTGCTCATTCTCCCTGGGATGTTGGCCCACCAACGTGGAGCCTCTGAAATTAGCCGGCGTTTTTTCCGGCATTTTCCCCAGTGGCAAGGCCTCCGCAGAGCGCAGGAAGAACTATTCTAGAGTGACTCGCTTCCCAGGAGGCTTTTGCTGCTGCTCTGTCTCTTCCTTCTCCTCCTTTCTTTTTCCTTCTCCTCGGTCAGCTCCGATGAATTCCAGGTGCTACACAAAGTGCATCCTGAATTGCTTTCCTCATTTGCGGTAGCCATGCGGAGGCCTGAGGAAATAGGCATTAGAGAGGGTAGTGGTGGGCCCAGGGCCAGACTCCCTTGGGCAGAGGGATCCATACCTCTTGGTGAGGGCCAGGGCGCTTGAGAACAAGAAGAAAACTCTAGTGGTAAGAACAACAGCATCAATGTGCACACACTGATCTGGATAAGAAATAATGCCCACCTGGTAAGCTCCTACCCATGCAACCTGATCAGGTGCTTTGTGTTGTTTGTTATAGCCTCATAGACCTCCCTGGAGGGAGGAGACAGCATTCCCATTTCATGGGTTGGGAAGCTGTAGTGCAGGGAGGTTAAAAGATAACCTGGTGGAAACCTGCTGGGACTGTAAAGAAAATCCTTGAACTTGAAATTTTATGCCCATTTGCTACAATCGTCTCCTCTTTTGTTCCAGGGATGGCCTCCAGCTCCCTCACTGGTAAGAAAATTTGAGTGATTCACTTTCGTCAGCCCCTACAGTGTGACAAAGAACCTACTTCTGTGACAAAGATTGAATTCCTCTAGTCTCTATGCTAGAACCTGATGTTTGCATGATTTCGGGCTTGGATTTAGGAAAAATCAGAGGTATAGCTCCTACATGCCTATGTTTCCTTTCCTCCCATACGTCTCCTCTTTTCTTGGTCCCTGACTTCTTTGTTTTCCTCCTTCTTTATCTTCACATTTGCTTAGTTTATTCTACAAGGCTGGTGCTGGACTAGACATTGTAGAGATACCAAGATAAATAAAATAATTTGGGACCTCAGTGAGCCAATCCCTAAAGAGGTGAGTCCCCAAAGGATAGTAGAAACAGCTTCAGTGTGATACACATTGTACCAGTGCCCAGCACAGGAGAAGGTTTCATAGCAGGGCAACGGGGAATTGCGGTAGATCACCCAGAATATGTAAAGGTCTTGCAAGCACAGGAAGGTTACAGGAACTGGATACGGCATGGATCACTGGTCTTGCCCTATCAGGGGCCCATTGTTATTAGGGAAAAAGGAAGTTATGGGACTGGGAGAGGACTGACATAGCTAGGCCTCCGTAGTAGCCTCAGGTTCAGGGATGAGATGGGCATGAAGTGTGAGGTGTGACACAAAGAGGACACAGAATGTGGATGAGACCCAGAATGAGGACATAGAACGTCTTGAGAGACTGGGGCCTTTCCAGCCTGTTCTGGGTGTGGATGGAGCAGGGCTTTAGCTCCATTGCTGCTGCCATCAGAACGGAAGGAAATTCCTAAATTCAGCCATCGGAGGCTCGCAGAGGGCTTCCGCTCTGCCAAGGATGTTTTGCCCTCCGTTTGTGTTACAGGCTGTGTTAGAGGGACTCCTCAGTCTAACTTTCACATTCAACTAAACCAAACTTTCTCTAAAATGTTCTTGTGACAGATGTAGAGGAGTCCTTGAAGCTATTCCAGGGCCACACTTAGCCCCCAGGCCCCTTGTCTCACTGGAGCTGGGCTCCAGAGTGGTTACAAATCCTTTGGCCAGAAGCCAGGCATCATGGCTCACACCTGTAATTCCAGTACTCGGGAGGCAGAGGCAGGAGGATTGCCACAAATTTGAGGTCAGCCTGAGCTACATAATGAGTTCAGGGCCAGCCTGAACTATGAAGTGAGACCCTGTCTCAAAAAAAAGAAAAAGTATTTAGGGCCAGGGATTTAGCTCAGTGGTTCCACTGCCTGCCTCAAAAGCACAAGGACCCAAGTTCCATCCCCAGTACAAAAAAAAAAAGATTCCTATGGCCAGGAACCTGACTTTGGAATTGGATATATCCTGGCCTTGAAAAGAAGAATAAGTGGGTGTTAGAGTCTTGGACTTGAAAGTCAGACCACTTGGAGTTGGAGCCTGATTCTGTCACTTCTAGCTGTGTACCTGTCACTTAATTGTCTCATCTGCAAACAAGAGACAACAATCTCCAATTGATATGGTTGTTATAATGTTTAAATCAATTAATACATTTAAAATTTTAGCACAATGGCTGGCACCTGGAGCCCTGTACATTTCACGTGCTAGTGGTGATGTACTAGGGATAGTAATGGTAGAGAAATAGTAATATAGTGGTAGTATTAGTAGCATTGGTGATACTAGTGCAGGGACAGTAGTATTCACTAAAGTAGTGTCAGTAATAAAAGGGGCAATCGTAGCACAGTAGCGGTAGTGAGAATGGTAGTAGAGCATTAGCAGTGGTAATGTTAGGATAGCAGTAGCATAGTAATTGTCTGAGTAATAGTGATGTTGGGAGGATGGGTAGTGCTGTATAGTAGTAGGGGTAGCAGTGGTAATATGATAATATACTACAGCAGTCATGGTGACAATGGTAATAACATCAGGAGACGACAGGACTTGGAAAAGTTTCTATACACCCATCTCAACGCAAAACTGGGGCAAATGATATCTCTGGCACAGCTGTGATGATGTTAACAAATAATCCAATTCCATAGAATCTACTGAGCTTGCTGAACACATGTGAAATTGCCTATAGCCCAGAGTCTCGCATGGAATTTCAAACAATGTTAGATCAGTTTAGACTTGAAGCCCCCGTGGGTTAAGTAACCAGGTGTGTTCCTCCATGATCCTTTCATCACTTTGCAGAGGAAGGGAGCCAGGCTGCCAGAGTGTACACTGTAGAGTGGAAACCAAGGGTGGAGACCACTCATCTCTTTCACCTTTGGATTCTCACGGCCCAGCACCATGGCTAGCATGACAAGTATTTAAGTAACATGTTTGCTTGTTAGATATTTACTGAGTACAATGAAGAACAGTGCTGAGCACCTAAGCGAAAGAGTGCTCTGGTCCCAGAATACTCTCTTTCATAGGAGAAGGTAATGGCTTTAGATAGCACAGCAAAGAAAGAAATTTCCTCCTTGGGGGCCTCAGGGATGCCTTGGATGGAAGAGCTTTGGGCTTTCTTTGTGAATGGGGAGAATCTTCTCTGTAGCAGCAACTCTGCCTCCGTGTTTTTATTCTAAGCAAGCCAGACAGACCCAAGACATCTGTGGGTGGAAATTTATTTTGGCAGTTTAAGCAATGAAGGGAAGCCAAGAGCCGGAGGCTATTAGTTGAACACCACATGTTAATCTCAAAATATTATGTGTAATCCTGGAAAACATTTTGATTTTAAGAAAGGGTAATCCAAGAACAACCAGCTCCTGCAAGAGGCTTATTCTTGGCCTGGTCAGGCTCAGTGAAAAAGGAAGACATTCAAGGTCTGGAGGAAACTGTCCAGCCCAAGCCTGATTCAGACGCAGAAGTTATTTCTAGCCACCAAACGCAGTAGGAAGATGAGGATCCTGATCTACCAATGCTTGGGGTATAGGTGATCACTTTGCCTTTGTACATCTGAAAGCTTAGGTGCTGTGGTCCGAATGTGCACCTTCTCACCCTCCCAATTCATATGTTGCAGGAATTGCTGGGGAGGCAGGGATTAGTGGGAGGTGTTCAGGTCATGAGGGCAGAGGACTTCTCAAGTAGATTAATGCTCCCGTAAAAAGGACTGCCAGAGGGGGTTTGCTCTCCAACACTCTTCTGAGAACAGAGTTCATTTCTCTTCCTCTTATCCCCCTGCCCCTCAGTGTATGTGCATGCAGCGAGGCCAACAGTAGATGCTTGTCCCTTGATTTTGGACCTACACCCTCTAGACCTGAGTAGTCAACTTTCTTTATAAATTACCCAGCCTCAAGTATTCTGTTATAGCCCACAACACAGACTGAGGCAGTGGCATTGGGATTCAGTGGGGAGAAGGAAGGTACATAGCCTCTGAGAAAAAGCTGAAGATACCCCGAATGAACATTTACTCTTCCAGGGCCTGGTGGGGTGAGATCGTGAAGATAGACTTTCCAACAGCAGGTTGTCGGCACTAGAAGCCAGAGTCAGTCTGATTTCCTGGGCCATAGCCCAAGCCCACAGCATGACAGAACCGACCCTAGTGATTATGAGAAGAGATTCATGGATTCTGCTACTTGGTGTCTCTTTTGTATTCCCCATCCTCCCACCAACCCTCTCATCTTCACAGTTAGAAAATCAGGAAAGGATCTGCAATTTGTTTGAAGTGCTACTGCTGGCTGATAGGCATGGATTTCCTTAGGATAGGAATATGTGATTGTGTGTGTGTGTGTGTGTGTGTAATATTTTCATATTAAAATGATTTTAAAGATCACCTAATGTTTGTATTACTCTACTACACACATACACACACACACATACACACACACACACACACACACACTTCCCACCCACTAATTGCACTTTATAGTTAGGATAACTCAGCTTTGTCAAACAAGATTGTCAATGAGATAGCATCAGACAAAGCTGGACTATGACTTGCCTCTTCCTGCTCCTGCTCCAGATTGACTGATTTTAATGCTCTACACGCCACCTTCCATATTCAGACTCTCTTCTTTACTTAACGTTTTAAGAGCATGGCATTTCCAAATCATCTGTATTTTCTCCAGGATGATTTTTACCCATCTCCAGCAGACCAAGTGTAATATGCTTCTATGAAATAAATTATCACAGGCCCACGACAATGGCTCTAAAGAAATGATCTAATGTGATTTCAAATGAGTTGTGTGTTAGAGAGAAAGAGAAACATGAAGAAAAAGATAAATACATGTGTGAATATGTATAAAAGTATATATAAGTATATATGTAAAATTATATATAATATAGATAGGATATATAATATCTAATATATTAACTTCTTTTTGGTATGGGTTCACATGTATAGAGGAATATGCTTGAAATTAAATCATAATTCTGTTGCTTCCAAGATGAATGACTTTTGCTGTGTGATTAGTTTTTCCCAAATTTAATTTTCGCCTTAAAAAAAGGAACAATGACACCTTTTTTCTAGGGTTTTGCTAAAGATCATGTGAGATCATGCATAACATCAGGAATGCCTTTGGTTTTAAGTGAACAGAAATGTTCAGCCATCATGATTTAAACATATCTAAGTATTCTTTCTTCACATAAAAAGGTATCTAGAGGCAAGTAATTACTAGTATTGACTTAGCTGTTCAACTCTGTGGGATGATGTCTTACATACTCTCTTCTTTCCTTCATAGCTGCATTATGGCTGCTGTAACTCTTACTATCACATCTATAACCCAGTAGAAAGGGGTAAGGTGGAGGAGTGTCTCTGTTAGGAAATCAAAAGCTTTCCCAGGAGTCCTATGAGAAACTTGCATTTATCACATCCAGACCTGTACCATATCTGATGGAAAGCTGGCTCTAAAGAAAGAGAAATTGGGAAATGGTCAACCTACTATGTCAGATAGCATAAAGTCTCCAATTAGGACACAACTGTATTAGTGTGGAATTATGCTTTCATTTTTTTTTTCTTTCTGAAAACTCCTATGAACAGCAGGAGCTCTGGAATAGAGAAAAGACTGTAGGGTCAGTGAGATGGCAATAAGTGGGCTTAGCTTTAGGAACTGGCTTGTTTGTTGGCTGGCCTACTTATGCAGGTGGGATAGTGGTTTGGAGAT